CCAGTTAGGAAGGTTTCAAGTCTTCCATATTTAAAATCTTAGACTTACTGATTATGGTTCCTACCAATGTTTTCTGTGGCACTCAAAGAAAGAATCTAGTGACACCCTCAACCCTCCCACACTGTAGACACACCCATACGTTATTGTTAAACTGTGCGTCTTACAATTAAGAATTACGATATTTTTTCATTTGATGGGCATGACCACCTTCAATTCAAAGACACTACCCTGACTGGCGCGTGATCTCAGGTACCTCACAATCCTCAGCCTTTCTGCTGTAGGATTTTGCTACAAGAATTCTGTAAAGATCTGTTCCTCCTCATCCACATATGGCTCACTACAGGGGCTGTGCAGAGTGTTAGTGAGCCAGAGAGATTCTGCAGGTGAGCTCTACCTGGAAGAGACCAGCTCACTGGCTAAAATCCAGAAGCATGGGGAACTATGTTCTGCTTAGCTTTGTCAACCACAGAGTCTGCTGGCACTTGCTTCTAAGTAAATGGATTTGAAGGGCCCAGCTAACCCCTGGTCAATCAGTAGCTTCTCTGAGAAGATAAATGCAAACGCAGGCAGCATTTTCCAAAGCAAAGCTGAAACTTACCCATAGCCATAAATGCATAGATATATATATGGAAGATTGCTTTATGTCCCCACCTGCAGAGAACAGCAGGAGCTGCTGAGCTCCGCCCAGAATTCACCCTAACAACTCCCCTGTCCTGTTTGTTTTAGATGCCCTTTTCCTCCATGACTCCTGAGGAGACACCCAGGTTCTGTCGGGAGGCAAACGTGCTCTATTGGAAAGCCATGCTTTCTTAGACTGCACATCCTTCCCACGTGTGGTTCTAGCTTTCCATGCCTTAAAGCTGATTTATGACCCCATGATTGTAAAGACCTGCTAGCCGGGCAGATAACTCTTGTCTGTAGCAGGAAATGAGTTTTGTGTGGTGGGAGGAATTTCTATCCCCCCAACCTCATAAAAGAGCCAATTTTCTAATCATCTCAATATCTAATCTACAAAAGTGACCTTCACATTATCCTTTGAGCACCATAAATATTCTTGCTGGATCTGTATGAGAGCTGCCATTTTAGCTTTCTCCTTTTATGCTTTCACCATTTTTAACTAGAAACTCATATGTTAGCATGGATAAGCCTGGCCATGACTGAGGTCCTTGTTCAGGTGACAGCATGAACAATGCACCACCATGGCCACCCAGCCATATGCTCACTGATCCACATGTGTCCCCATCTCCTCCCTTCTGTGATACCTGTGTACCTGGCTCACACCCCTTTTTCTCATGTTTATGTGTGTATAATTGTCTGCAATGGAATTGAAGTCTGATTCGTTGCCATGAATTGCTGTGACAAAGACGATGGGAAAGGCAATGAATATAATCAATGTAAGTTCACTTCAGAATTTGAGCTTTTCTCCTACATCTGGAAGTGACACATAAGCACCAAGGGTGAGGCCAGAGTGACACAGCAAGCAAGCTCCCTCTGGTGAACCCAGCACTCTTTGTCAGCTGCTCAATTAATCTTTTGTATAGTTTGCAGCCTTATAACTCTCAACTACCTTAAAATGTACCAACGGAGTTGGGGGAAAAATAATATATTACTAGGAGGAAAATGAAGAAGCCAAGATCTGAGGCAAGATGACAGCCAGCAGCAGCCAGGCACTTTTGTCCCGTGTGCCTTTAAAGGCAGGGAATGTCTCCAAGTGCAAGCCTGCATTGGTAATTGTGCTTTTAGACGATTTCACCCATCACTGAGGACCTGTGACATGATGAAAGTTCTAGGGGCTGAGATAATGAATCAGGGCTTCTGTCCTCAGGGAGCCCTGGGCAAGCATCCTGTTCGTAAGGGCTTCCGGTACTGGAAGGGCTTCACTAAAGCTAAATAATAAGCAGAATTGTATATCCTGTTGTTTTTCAAGTGAAATGTGCCAATCATCATAGTTTCTATGTCAATGAGCTCCTCGTACATGTATGTCCTTGTATTCACCAGGAGCATACTCACACAGTAAACGCCCAAAAGTCCTAGAGTAGGCTGCCCCAGAAATTCTGTTACTTAGGTTTGGAAAATCAGTGCTCATGCAGTCTCAGTTGTTTTGAATTAAGAACCAGATTTTTGTAATACTCTGCTGAACAAATAGATGAGAGGGAGAATTTTAATTTGTTGACTTTTATATTATAAACTAAAGTCAGGGACCCTGTCCTAGTCATCATTATTCTCTTCCAGTGCATGGCAGACATAAGTGCTCAGCAAATGTGAGTGAGGAAACGACAATGAACCACAGAAATTAGCTACTGAAGTCCCATTCTAAATATTTGAAAGGTTTACTTCCCTTTTACTGACTTAAAAACCAGATTGCTTACTGCTTATACAAATAGCAAGATAAGAGACTTGATCCCATTTTTAGTTAAGAAAAAGTGTATCATAAGTGTGCATGTGTACTCACTGTGTAAGCATTTTAAATATACAGCAAATTCTTAACAGTGGTTATCCCTTATAGTGGTGGGGATATGAAAACTGTATTATTCAGACACTTTAGGCTTCTAGAAACAAACGACTCAATAAAAAGTAGCTTAAAAATTTGTTTTCTGACCTAAAAAGGACAAAAAAGGCTCATCCCCTGTTTGGTCAATCCAGTGACTAAGAAATGTCATTCAGGATTTCGAGTGGTCATATTCCCAGTCAGCCATTGTCAGCATGTCCCAAGGCCTCAGTAATTCCACATATCCCATGTAGAGGTGACAGTGTCCAGAATAAAAAAGAGGTATTTTTGCTTATGCATTGATTTATAACAGTGAGAAAAAATTCCCCCAGAATCCCACCCAGGGTCACATCATTTGCAAGGGAAATGAGATCACCTTGATTGGCTTGGACCAACCTGGAGGCTTCACTGGGCTGCAGGGGGCCCAGTCTTGAACATGGCTATGCCATGTGTTAGCTGAGGTTAGCACCTCCAAAAAAGTCCATGCTGCCTGCTTGCCTGCCATTAAAGAAGAAAAGAACCCGCGTTGACTGGAGTAACAGAAACAGTACTGAACATAGGGAGAGTCACTTTTTTTTTTATGTCCCTCAGTATTGTTTCAGTTGTCAATCACTTTTATAATTAATGTTTTAAATGTGTGTCTAGGTCCAGGATATTCTTCCTTGAGTCTCTGTTTCAGTGCAGTGTGGTCTGGTGATTCCCCAAGATAAGGGACATTAGTGACCTTGATTTCTTCCTTGTAGCTTCACTCACCACTTAGCCAAGGCAAATCTTTTAACCTGCTCCAGCTCAGTCTCTTCAACTCCAAAGCTAAATTAGTGACCCTTTCTCCTACCTAGCTCACAGGGATATTGGCATGGTGAAGTACTGTGTACTGCAGTTGTCACACAGGTAGATTTGCTCCATTGTTAGCACCCTGCGTCATTTGCCAGTCATATGAAAGCTGTTAAATTCCCAATATTATGTTGTAAAATAAGTGGGGGATGAGAAGAGTCCCACAGCCAAAAACAGGAATATGAGAACCAAGTGAAAGAACAGAAGGAACTTACTCTTTTCTAGCCACAGGGCTCTTCTGCTGCCCTCTGACAGAGGGCTCCCCCACACCCCCACCCAGGCTTGCACTTTTCTAAGAAGGACCTATTTATCCTTTTTGCCTTATTCCTCACATCAAAACTACCAACCTCTCTGAGCCAGTGATCTCAGATACTATAAGAGCAGGTTAAAATATTCAAAACAGATCATCCTCAACATCTCTGAGGGTATTTACTCTTAAAACAAGTTTTCATCAGTTTGTTACATAATAAAATGTGTGTTTAGGATAACAGACCTTCCCATTGTCCCATGGGTCAACCAGATGACCACAAATTTCTTAGCCTAAAGGGTATTGCCATTTTGCTTCCCTGTCCCTCCAGTGCTTCCAACTGTCTAGGAAACACTTGAAACCTTTTCATAATACCTCATTGAAACGTCCCCTAGACACCTGTCCCCAAGACCCACTATGCTTAGGTTCAACCTCTTATGTATTACCTCACTGTCCCTTTACCCACCTAAACTGTGGAGCTGGATCTGCAGTATTGCTTAGATCCTGTCGAAGTTATTTGCCAAAGAGCCCTTGAGCACCTTGGATTGAATGGCACCATCTGAGTGTGATGGCATTTGTAGAACAAGGGCATTTGTGACCTCCCTTCACCAACACAAGTTAGCCAAGCTACTTAAGCAGGATTTATAGGATGTAACTACCAACCTATTGAACAGTTGATTGCTTTTCAATACTTTGCTTTAACATTTATAATAACTCAAAGGCAAAGCCATTTTTTTTACATACAAATTTGTTTTCTTGGGAGTTTTATTCACTTTAGAATAAAATTCCAGCTACTTTGGAAAATGTCGATTTTTTTTTTTTTGTCATTATCTTCTTGAGTTCTCATAATTTAAAATCCATCCAGGAATGGGCAACTGTTAGCAGTTTGGCTAGCAAGTGTCACCCAAAAAAGGGTCCTGTGTTAAGGCTTGATCCCCAGCTGGTGAGACTATTGAGGTGACTGGATCATGAGGATGCTAACTTCATCGGTGGATGAAGGAGTTCATAGCTGAACAGTTGTCGGGATGCGGGGCCTGGTTGGAGGAAGTAGGTCACTGAGTGCATGACTTGGAAAGGTTTATCTTGTCCCCTGACCCTTCTCCCTGTGCTCTCTGCTTCCCAGACATCACCAGGTGAGCAGCTTTGCTCCCCCATATCTTCTCTGCCATGACTCTGTGCCTCACCACAAGCCCATAGTGATGAGGACGAGCGACCACAGTCTGAAACCGCAGGAACCATGGGCCAAAATAAATCCTTCCTCCCTTAACTTGTTTCTCTCAGCATTTCGTCAAAGCAGCAGAAAGTGTCTAACACAGCAATCCTACCCTGAGTCTATTCTTTTCTCAAGAAAGGAAGTGAGCATCACAAGTTAACCTGTTCTCCATAAATGAGGTGGTCGATGCCTGTGTGACTCTCCTGTCTTCCCCACAGGTCTGCCGACTTGAGCGACACTTGTCCACTGGGCAGTACCAGGGAACCCTCTTTGCTGATCAGCCGATGATGTTCATCACACCAGCCAGCAGCCCACCAAGGGCCAAGCTGTGCAAACTGATCCTCCTGTCCGGTGGCCGAGTCAGCCCAGCCCTTCACCAGGCCAGCATTGTCATTGGACCCTACGGTGGAAAGAAGAAAGCGACCATCAAGTATCTGTCAGAAAAATGGGTCTTAGGTAGGAATCGAGGTGGTAGGAATCCAACAGGAAGGGACAGATGGACGGGGAAGCTCATGTAGCCATCAGAAGCTCACTAGAGAGACACTGTTTTGTGGTCCCAGTAGTCAGGGCAGGTTTCAAGAGAGGGACATACAGTGCCATGCCCCTGGTGCATTGGGGTGATGTCTCAGGCCCACACATCTGCTGTGACAGTCATGTGACTGTCATGGATGACCCCTGCCCCCCCACATTGGCTGAGGTATAGTGAACACAGAAAAGGAGTCACATGGCTTTACCTACTTCCCTACCCCAGGGTGTGTGGAAAACCTGGTCACCCACTGCTATACAAAATCTTCCAGCAATGAGCACAACGTGACCATGGTGGTCAGGTCTGGCTTTGGTTCCTTGTGCACCTGTGCCATGCTCTGAGTGAGATCCTGGGGAGAAGAAACTGGTGAGATGTAGACCTTAAGAGACTGTTCACCTGCATTATGGTGACAGGTAGGCTTGGCCTATAATGCTACTTCCAGGAGGCTCACAGAGCAAATTGTGCAGCCAGGCCACCGAGGTGAACATGCATGGGCTGGAACTGCAGCCTTTGTGGGGAACTCACCCATCCTGTGATGGAGTCACACGTGGTGGGATCAGCTTAGGGCTGGGCTTTGGGGATAAGCTGTACTTCTTCCTCTATGACGTTGTGACACATGTATTAATTGGTTAAGACTAAGCACCACAGACTAAACAACTTAACAGTGGGCAGTCGTTTTCTCTCACTGTTCTAGAGGTGGGAAGTCCAGGATTAGGTGGCAACATGGGTGCCTGAGGCCTCCCTCCTGTGCTTGCTGATGGTGTTTTCTCCCAGTGTATTTCCATGGTCTTCCCTCTGTACTCATTGCCCCCTGGTGTCTCTGTACGTCCACATTTCCTCTTCTTACAAGAGTGAGAATGAGTTAGAGTTCACACTAGTGCCCTTATTTTAACTTAATCACATCTTCGAAGGTCACATCACTGAGTACAGTCACATTCTGAAATACAGGGGTTGGGTCTTGAACACAAGGAATTGGGACACAGTTCAGCCCTAGCAATGGATTACTCCAGTATCAGAACCTGTGGCCAAGAACCTTACCTGGCTTCCTCAGATCTGCTTTCCTCCCTCCCTCTTTCCTATTCCCTCCCTCCCTCTTTCCTATTCCCTCCCTCCCTCTCTCTCTCCCTCCCCTCTTGCCTCCCTAAATCATTCTCCCTTCCGTGTGTTTCCTACTTGTCTCTAAATCCCAAACTTCTGGCTTTTCTCATGCATTGTAGACATTATCCTTTAATAGATAACTAGATACCATGTTTGTCCAAGTTACATTCATTCAGAACCACATACATTTCATGAAAATCTTTGCAGTGATTGATGATCATCCTGATACATTTTTAAAAGTATGGCAATCAAGAGTAATTTTTTTACTGTCTGGTACAGAGCAATTATCTTTTTTCCCAGAAACTAACTTCAGGGAAAAAAAAAAAAGAAAAAAAAAAACCTCCTCTCTAGCAATAGTCCAAAAGCCAAGGGGCTGTTTACTCTTTTCAGAATATAACCTTCAAACATCCTATGTTCTGAAGCAGAGGTTCTTGTTTTTTAGAAAAGTTATGTATCAAAATGACACCAACTGCAGACCAGAATTGTCTTTTCAAAATGTCCCTTTTGGCTAACGGAACTGTGCATATGATATCAACAACCTGTATCAACAGCTAATCTTTGCAAAGTTCGGGAACTGTGTGCCTGCGGAGGCTCCAGCCGGGTCTGTGCTGCTGTTATTTCCAGGTTGGGTGACTGTGGCCGGCTTCCTGTTGCTCCTGCACTCTCATGTGGGAGTCACACTCCGTCCAGCCGCCTGCTTGCTGCTTCCAGATGTTTTACAGGGCTGCCCTCTTGCTGGTGGGGTTTTAGGAGGTGGACGTCCACCTGCTCACCCGCAGGCTTAATCTGCACAAGGCCCTTTCACACATGCTTTGCCTGCCGGGTGGGCTTGCAGACCCCAGTCTCTGTTTCTTTCCTCTCTCTAATTGACGTCCTGTTTCTGATTTGTCATTGATTACACCACCTGCATGTGCCCTTGGCAGCATCCGGGTATTGTGTATGCTGCTGCCCTTGCCGCTGTCAGATGGGCCCCCCTGGCTCATGGGCAACCCCCGAACACGCTGGGTCCTCTAGCCTGGACCATTTATTTTTCAAATACATGTTAGCTGGTGTTTTCTCTTTCTGAATTGAATCACAATCCAGTAGCTCCAGCTGTGTGCAAATGCCGGAGGAGTTGTTTGTGTGTGTGCGTTCACACACACGCATCCCTACAAAATGTACCAGAGGCCTGCCTTTCCTGCCTAACCCAGGCTCTGCCGCTGGCTTAGACCTCACCCTGCTTTCTTCCTGTGGCCATCAGAGGAGACAGCCCGGGAGAGTGCAGAGCAGCAGGTAGGGGTTGGTGTTGTCCTGTGTCCCAGGGTGCATAGAACTGTCAACTCCTGACACTTTGACAGAGCAATGTGTGTCCTTTAAAGACTTTTTTCCTCCCACTATCCTTAATAGACATTTCTCTAGAGAATATTTTATTCTCAAAGTGGGGTAAGATTAAAATTAGGAATATATCAAACTGTTTTAAAGTATCAATTTGAAAGAAAAATTGTTACTTTGTGATAAGTTATGAAAGGCAATACTCAACATTTACAAGTTAAATTTATTCCAACTAGAATAATAGTAGCCATGTGAAGCTGGGCCCCTGGGAGTCTTAAGAGTAGTTGGATAAAGTACTTCAAAGTCTTAAATGTAGCTCACTGTATCCACTTCCAGGTTTATAAATGACTGTCAAAATGAAAATTCCAGGGCTTGGGGATAATTTTTGTTTGGTTTTTTTTTTTTTTGGGGGGGGGCGTGGATAGTTTCATGTTTATTCCTACAGTTTATGGGTTTTGTTTGAGACCTCTGAAAGGTTCCTTTTGCGGAAATAGAAAAGTGGGCACCAAAGCGGTCTTTCTGCAGGACCTCTGACATCCTAGCACTGTGACCCATGAGATAAGCCTTTCTCCCTGCTCCCAAAACAGCCACCCAACAATCACGAGCATGAAAAAAAATCAGTGATTAGTCTACTTGTAGGAATTTCTTCTGACCTCGGGTGTGAGTGACCCTTAAGCATTCAAGCAGCCTGCCCTCCCCGCCACTGCATGTTACTGGTGTAGAACGAGGGGTGAGCACACGAAGTCACCACAAGGGCTCAACATTAGCAATTGAAGCCCTGTCTTACTCATTTGCTCCACAGAAAATAGCATATATGCCACGCTGCCTTACAGCGAGGTCATGGTTATGTTCCCCCGTCAGTCCCTGGAGCCCATTTTCCCTGAAACAAACAGCGCTGTGCTTGGGCCAAGATTCTCAGTGAATCATTCAGCCAGAAGGAGAAATGGGGATTTTGAGCAAGAACATACTTGTGGGTACTTAAATAAGTACGAAAGTAAACAGGAAAACAAAAATCAGGTTCCTGGCACTAGGAACTAAAATGTTACCTTTACCTGCTATCTATGCTGCATGTGGCATTTGAAAGCAGTTTCTAATTGTTGGATTTCCCCCCAGCAGGGGCATGACATGTGCTCCCACTTTACAGACTGAGAAATAAAGACCCTGGTGTCTGAGGACCTTGGCTGGGAGGGAATGCAAGCCTGGTGGAGCTCTGGGCCTGCCAGTCTTGGCTGTGATATAGAGCTGTGGTCATTGCTGTCCTTGCTGTCACTGCCTCCTGGTATTATCACACAAGGCAGGTTTGGCCTTTCTCACAGGACCATTTCCAGTCTCAGGCGCCCTTTTATTGTCTGGGCTGTGTTCAAGAGATAAGACATACATTTATGCTATTGTGGGAACATAGTATAATATTCTCAACAGCGTTGCCAAAAAAAGAGTTGAGCCTTGACATGGTTTCCTTATAATTCACAAAGAGCATTAGATTTCACTGTTTCCCCATGCCGATATTTTCAGCAAAAAAGAGCCATGGTAGCCTAGAGGCCCTTATCAGCCTGGCATGGCTCGCTCACTATCCCCCACCCCCCCCACCCCCTGCCATAGTTGTGTGTTAGCTGTGGCGTTTTGTGGAACTAGGCCACAAAGGAGGCTGTGGACCTTCAAGCTTTGTGTCTAAATGGTATGGGAAGTTTGTTCAAGTTCATATTGGTCCACATCGTCGTGGCATGGATGAGGAACTGGTCACAGAAGGCTGGAGGCCGGCTGCAAGTAGAGACAGTGGCAGAGAAGAAAACAGAAGGACAGGAGGCAGGTCCACCCCTTGCATCTAGCCCCTCTCTTCCCAAGGAGCCTAATTTATCCTCATCTAGGAATCCTGACACAGCAGCCCAGCAACCACTCAGAAAGTAATTGCCAAAACAGAGATGAATGGGAACCAAAACTGATGGAATACTATAATTCCAGTGTCTAACATTTAGAACCCTTTTTGAAAGTATACATGGATGTATGTACATAGCAATTTTAACCTGCTAGCCGATAAAGCCATTCTTTAGTGCGAGCCTTAAAAAGAGCGGGCTCAGAAAGGAAGTGCCTCAGTTCTTGAATTGCATACGTTGGCCACCAAATGGTTCTACCTGGCTGTCTCTGAAATTTCTTAACCCGCTGGGTCCCCTTTCTTAAATCTACACCAGTAGACTTCAACTCACAGGCTACAGATTTTTTCAGAGGTATATATACTAAAACCTGTAATAAAGGCAGGAACCAAACTGGAAAGTAAAAGTCCCTCCCTGCATCTTTACCAGCCAAAGGCACAGTCTTGAAGTCTCACTTTAAAACAAAACACTAACCTGGAACAGACTCAGATTTGAAAATATCATAAACAAGGCCACATTTTATATACATCAGTAGAAATGTGGTCGTTGGTTTGGAAAGTCAAAGTGGCTATTTAGCTGTGAGTGCTAGGTATTTGGGTTGTGAAAGTTAATTTTCTCAAGGCTTTTTTTTTTTTTTTGGTGGTACTGGGGTT